CGGTCTTACCACATTCGCAAACACCGAGGAGAAAGCTGAAAATACGACGCGCCGCGGAATATTCTTGGCAATCCTAGAAGTTTTTGGAAACGTGGTAACACACTCGAGTGTTTGATATATCTTCCTATGCAGTCGAAACTAAAACACTGTCAAGGTTACTGATTTCTTTGGTTTAACATAGGCAAGAAGCACGTTTTCTTTTAATGATTGTTATTGTGAACGAGCAGTAAGCTTACCTCATCAAGTTTTCGTAGCTCGTGTCAGAGTAAGAAAGATTAACTTCAATATGTTCTTCATTGTATACGTAGCGGACTAAACGTTGTGGAATAAGTTCAGTTTCCTCAACATGGTCCTTTTTGAGCCGTGACCACAAGCAAGTTTTGCTACTGACTTGACTCTCGGGTCTCCTAACACATCCGTTTTTAAATAGGAAACTTTCCATGAAAAAAAAATCCATATTTTATTGCGTACATGAGCCAAGTAAACTTGCCAAATTGTCGTTAAGTTAATTGTACCCGCTCAACTTCCCACGACCGTGTCTATTTTAGTCTCTTATATAACGGCGGACAACAGATTGCCGATTTGAACAGCAAGTCTCCTCAAAATTACAGAAAAGTAGATCTCCTCTATCCGCGAATTTTGTACTCACTGCCTCAGCAAAATATAATCAATTCAACTTTGTGTTCAAAACTATTAAAAGATTTGTTCTGATCATCTCCGTCAGACGCACATTCAGTCAGCTGCGACAAATTTAGTTTCGTAATCTATTATCCACGCCATTTATCAACAATTCAACGGGAGAGCAATCTTAATAAAGCAACAAGGAAGTTTGAAAAGTCGCACGACATCCTTTCGTGCTGAAGCGCTTTCAGCTATGAAGTACGTTGATAATCGTTTAATACCTGTCCATCGTTGAACTTATGCCACTTATGTAATCAGTACTAAACAAGAGAGACCGGTCTTCAGCCACATTCGCAAACACCGAGGAGAAAGCTGAAAATACGACGCGCCGCGTAATATTCTTGGCAATCCTAGAAGTTTTTGGAAAAGTGGTAAAAAAACTCCAGTGTTTGATATATCTTCTCAGTCGAAACTAAAACACTGCCAAGGTTACTGATTTCTTTTGTTTAAGCGGGGAGGCGGGGGAGGGGGAGGGGAGGGGTTAACATGAATTTAAGTGAAATTTTAGGAAGGTTAAAGAGGGATTAAAAGGAAAAAAACAGTTTTGGAACACCACCAGACAGTTGAACGCCCCCGAAAGGGCACCACAGGTTGGTGGACAACTGTTTGGTGCACGTCTATCAATTTTTAACTTCAAATTCTGATTTTAGAATAACATCAAATTTTCAAAATTTCATATTTCCATAAGTTTTATTAATCCCTTGAGAAAACCTATTTATCCCCAAATATACCCAAAAATCGCCAAAAAAAAAACTTACAAACCAGCCCAAAACGTAGATATGTGGGATGAGCAGAGAGATTTTTTGACTGCTTGAGACGTGAACGATATATTTGCGTTAAAACTATAATACCGCCTTGTAGGCACGAAGCACGTGCAAGAGTTTTTTTATTTTAGTTTTTCATTGCTTTCTTTTTTGTAAACGAAAAGCCTAAGGAACATTTCAGTAGATTCTTAACTGTAATGGTCAGGTAAGACCAATACGTTTTATCAACGTTCTATTATTTTAACAACTCGATCAGTAGCTTAATAAATTTGGTTGAACTAATATGGTACCCTTCCCTCCGAGACAATAAAAGTCTTGGAGTCTGCGCTGATAGAAAAAGGTTAAGCATGACGCTTACGGAAAAAGGGCAAAAGGCAATAATAACCTCTTATCTTGTGCTCTTTTCTATTAATCCTAACATGAATCAAACAAAAATAGAAAGAGGTCTCCTATTATTCAACGTAGATACAAGTATATTCACTCTACTATACACACAGCTTAGGAAAGACAGCAAAAGTTACATCTTTTGGCTTTTGCCGTTTGCCTTAAATGTCAGGTTCAACCTTCTTATTAACAGCAAACGGTAAACGGCAGATTGGTGTTGATTCTGGAGAATTTCCTCAACCTCCTTAAGAAAGAACTAATTTAATAATAATAACAATAATAACAATAATAATTATTATTATTATAATAATAATAATAATAATAATGCTTTAGCTTTTACTTGCCTGAATAATAATAATAATAATAATAATAACGTAAACGTGCCGAATTGTTTTAGCCGAGGGATAACCCTCTACTAACAGAGGACACCTACTTAGAAAGAAATAACAAAGCCTAAGAAAAATAATTTAATTATATTTTTGATTAATAATAATTTAGTCTATTTACAAATTACAAAACCTACGAATAATTTAAAAATTAGTCTACTCACATGTTAAAAAACCTACGAATAATTTAAAAATTAGTTTATTTACAAGTTTCATAAAAAGTACTTAACAATGAAAAAAAAGATAAAAGCATTTAGAAAACCTAATTAATCATTGCATAGATTGTAGCTTCAACATCCCTCATCCAGTAGGCATTGTCACGCACTAGCACGGTCATATTCTGTTGCCACCATTGATCACAGCTTTTTCGATTTTGATGAGAAAACAATTAAAATTAAATTAATATCGATTTTAATAGCCATTTAAACGAGAAGGCTATTTAAACTGATTCCTTAATTATCTTAACCCCGGCAGAGAGAGTCTTGACTATCAATATGCATAGTTTCTTAACAAGTTGTATCGACGATTTGTACGTTCGTTTCAACAATAACGTTTCTTAACAAAATTTACATTTCTGGCCTTAATCGTATCTATAGCTGAACAAAATTCTCGATCGTGATTGGTTCTCCGCACGCCTGTTTGTCACGTAATCGGCGCGCGATTACGTGGGTGTCCAATTACAGGAATCCAATTTGAACTTTTTGTAATTGGATACCTGTAATTGGATAACCACGTGACTCGCACAACAATTCTGCTCGCTTTAATGGCTTCCTTCGCACTGCTTCCTACAGTTTTCAAAACTTATGAAAAGCGTTACAGACGTTTCCGCTCAAAAGAAGTCCTAGTTTGTGCTAGTAATTTCAAATCGCCCTCGCGCTTCACGCTCGCCCGATTTTGAAATTACTCGCGCGATTACTTCTTCAATTGTACTCCACTCGGTCCAATTACTATGACTAATCACATTACTTCTTGGTTTTCTGATTTGATTTCTATATTTTTCAAATAATTTAGCAACACGCTATCACTGATTAACTATCACCGTTCGTTAAAATTCAAGGACTGTATTACGTCAGTCGCTATTATAAATGTAATGGCAGTAGCTTGACTTTAACACTGGTAAGGACACAGAGAGCAAGGATTACGTAAATCGGAAAAGATTGCGCCATGATTTACATCATCAAGTGTTGGTTTTATAATTTACCCAGTTCATTTCTTAAGCCGGGTTTAAGAGGATTTTATCTTAGGTTAACCTTAAAATATTGAGCATTTTTGCTTCAGAAAGATTATCTTGCTTTGAGAGAACAAATCTGTGAGTTACTAAAGCAGCAAGGATAGAAAAATTCGCAAAAAACTGATCAAACTAAGGGAATTGTGTGTAAACAACGCTTGGTATGAATTTTGAGACACTGACGTAATTAAGATCTGTTTCGCAGGTTGCCCAATTATAGCGTTAGAAATCTATCACGCGACCAGTTAAAATTCAGTTATTAATTTAAATTCTGTAAATTTTGCAACGTCGCAAATAATGTGTATGGATATATCAAAACGGCAACTTGCCGATGACGTAAAATCCACAGATTCTAAAAAGAACTCGGTGGAGTAACTTTAACTGTGTAATACACATCTATTAACTGATCTGCTCGAAAATTTCAAAATAAAGTTATTTCTTCAGTAAACAAGCCGCTTAGAATAAACCGAGGCCAGTCAAAATACGGTAACAAGAAATCTACGTTACAACAATCATTTGACGAATATCAAATTTAGTAAATCAACGTTTGTGTAATTACGATAATGTTTACGTGTTTGATATCACCAATCACCTGTCGAAAGGTCACTCGCTATATTTAGCGGCACTCTTTCGAGTCGAATGAATGGCAACGCGTTTCAATACTCTCATTCTTGGGTTTTTTGTGTGTTTTGTTTTTGTTCTGGTTTGACTGTTTTTTTACCGTCGATATGCCTGCAAACAATATTCTTGGAAGCAGAGACCAAATATATGTCACCAAACGATTCGAGTTGACAAGTGGTTTTCTCAGAAATGTCTGAAGTCACCGTGACCAAGAACACTTATCCAAGTATGATGCATGACGTCATCTCAATGTCAATCAAAAGTGAAGTTTCGATTTGCTGACTTTCCGGGTCGAAAATAAGATTTAAAAACTTGGAACAGTCGACGGTTGCTGAAATTGAGTTCTCTCCAGCGGGAGCAATGACGAAGAAAGTAAATGCAAAAACTGAACATGAGAGATCGAATAACTGGCGATCTAAGAGAGAAAATTGTTTGGCTTACTCTAGACATCTTTGCGTTACCACGAGATTTACAGATGTTATGGGGAGAAGACCTTCATCATCATCCAAAGATGCTGTGTTGACGTCGCCTCTTACGCACGCAGCTGGGTATGAACCATACGATTATTTCGGGAGAAGAAATTTAGCACTCCATAGACAAGTGAGCCGAGTCCAAGGCAAGGTGGCGAGTGAAGTGTTCAAAAGGGACATGAAATTTTACAGAAAATTCGGCACCATGCCTACAATGCTAAAAACACACACATTAGCACCAACATCAAATAAAACAAGAAGAACAAATTGTCAAGCCAATTCAAATTCATTATATTTATGCTGCAGCGTGGACGACGATGCGAGCTCGTTCTGTGATTCTGTTTCATCAATCGCTTGCAGCAGCATTAGCCACGTGGAGAAACAGGAAAAATGGACCAAAGATGCTTGTGAGTTATCGGACAAGACCACAAAGTTTGATGCCATCGAAAAGTGGTTACAAGGTTTACCCAAGCCAGTTTTCAAGACTGGTGCAGGACATCTTTAAGTGTACAAGGCTAGCTTAAAAGTAACGCACTCCCACTTGAATTGCATGACTTTGTAAATGTCTAATTACTGTGATATCCGTAGCAAGCAGTGCGTAGTAAACTGTAGATAAGGACCTCAGTAAGTAATTTTCGATAATTTCAAGCAAACACCAAACAAGAAGACGTGCACATCATGTTTTAAGTAGGTCTCAAAAATGGACTTCGAAAAATCTTCAATGCTTCCACCTTAGTTTACATTCAGTAATCACCGGCCGTAATTTCTGTTGAGGGTAAATCTTTGTATCAATAGAAAATGTTAACATAGCGTGAAAAGACTCAGTGTTTGTCAGTCAGTCAGTCAGTCATTCTGCAGTCAGTCCGTCATTTTGCAGTCAGTTGGTCAGTCGCTCAGTTAGACAGGTAGCAAGCTAGATTGTTAGTTACTTAGCTAATTTGTTATTCTATGTAATCCATTAGGAAGTCAGGTTATTAGTCACCCTACACAAAAGAGGTAACACAGAAAAAGCCTGGCTGCGTCCTCTGATGTTAAATCTGGTGTAAAACTTAATTCATCAATCTAGATTCTAATACTTTATAATACTTTTTTCGCTGCTTATGTTCCTATGCGAAAGCAACTGATGTTTGACTCCGCTATTATCTAATTTTCTAAATATAGCGCCAGTTTCATTACGAGCATGGGCTGGGTTCATAAGATCGCGGAAAACATTCCAAGCCTTTCAAAACATCAGAAGTAATAGAGTATACGGGTAGTGGCAGTTAGAAAGGTAGCCTACCAAATATGATCTCTAAACGTTGAAGATGGCTATCATCAAATGCACAAATTTATTAAAAATCAACTCTGCTTAAACCGAAGCAGCTTCTACGGTTCCATGTTGTTTACTGTTTCGGAATATTACCTTAACCACGACCTTATCTTTTGACAAATCAATAAAATGCAAAAACAAAGTTTGTGTATTTGATGATGCTTTAAAGCCATATGCGTCATCAGAGTTTATGAGCCAGTTTTTGAACCTTTAAATAAAGATCACTATTTGTGCAAGTTATCCTAATCGAGGATTGGATATGTAGCCAAGCGGAACTGTAGCTGTAGTAAATATGGAAATTCAATGTCACTATGTACCGCGGAATATGTAGCACAGCGTAAACTGCTGCTAACCAGTCACTCTGAGAACATGGAAATATTACTTGTCGTGTAAGATGACAGAGTTTCAACATCGTAACCTGTTAAGGACTTAACCAATTTACTTTTGTAGTTAGCTTTGATTCCTAATAGATTACGTCAACTTCATGTAACACTACATTTGTCAGAATTATTTAAATAATAATTATTAAAATAACTATGAACTATTTATTTCAGAGCACGTGTCAGAGATTCTCTCTTATAAGTGGGTCCTATGTTAGTCCTCGAGTTCTCGCTGAGCCAGCCAATATTAGAAACACTTTAATATCACTGACTTGTTAAGTATTCTGTTTACATCCACATTCACTCCGAATAAGCCGAATTGGTGTATGTGTAAAAAGAAACGTCTCCGAGCCCTCGGAAACATTACTGTAACGAAACCACAACATCCTTTGTTGTTAAGATGTACAGGAAAAATGGCGTTACCGGGAGCAACTTGAGTTACTCCTTGGATAGAGAGGGAAAAATTTCACTTAACTTTTCAAGACATTTATGTGTAACAACAAGAATGGCAAGATCTTTGGAAAATCAAAAAACTGCAAGAAGATTTAGTTATTCTGAAACCCCGTCAACTCGCAAACGAACAGGTTCTCGGCCATTTGATAACTCCAAGGAAAAGTTTGGTAGACAGCAGAGCGCTGAAGGACCGCTATCACGAAGGCAAGTGTACAATATAGGCGAGACATTTCAGCAAAAATTCGGCCACACGAATGAAATGCAAGGGACGAACACTTTGGTATCCTCTCCTTATTGGACGAACAGAGAAGCGGTTCAGATGGACGATGAGACGAAGTCATTCTGCGATTCCGTTTCATCAATCGCTTGCAGCAACTATGCTAGGACTGATGTGGACAATCGAAAACACTGGAATAAAAATGACCATAAATTTCCTGACAAGATTTCAAAGTTTCAAGCCATCGAAAAGTGGTTACAAAGTTTGCCAGAACCAGGTTCATAATTAAAGGACCACTAAATGTACAGTTGGTTAGATCTCAGAGCATTTTGGATTATAAAATGCCCAGCGTAGTTTTTAGAAGCCTGGACGTGTTGGTACTAAAAAATTAGGTTTATGTGGCATACATGCCATTAGGAGCTAGGTGACCAAATAGAAACGACAGCTGTATGACTCAGCTGCAATATCGTAATGCTCGAATGCTTATAAACTGGTGATCGAGGTATTACGTATAATTAATCACTGTATCTTAACTGGATATAAACTTATGATGAAAATGTGTATGTATAATGTTTGCGACTTCAAAAGTTGTGTTAGTCTTGGAATTGGACAAGACGCCAGAGCTAAATGGTCAGTCGTCATTATCGAGAGGCATTGTTCCTATGAGTAGGTAAATTTGTTGATAACCCGCCATTAAGTCACGAGATATTTAGACGCATTGCTAAATTACATCAGCGTAAAAATGCTTCTTCCATGCGCGGTCCAAAAGCTTCAACTCAACTGAGAGTAAGTTATTTGTTGTCAATCCCAAGTAAAGGACCAAAGACGAGTAAAAGGGACAATGTAAACAATTAACTCTTATTACTCTATATTCCGTTAAGTGTTTTTCAGTATATAAATTGTCATTTTTATCATTTGTCTTGTTACCGATAAACGATTTTCTTTTCATAAATTAGCTCGAATATCAATCACGGAAACCTAAATTTCGATTAAACTAAATTAAAATTCAATCTGAAATACCTGTACCACCATTACATCGGCATTTGAAAAGTACTAAGGAGGTAATAAACAAACTGTTGTGCTTTCTTTTTTTTTTCTTTTGCAACGTTTCATGATGGACAGACTACCGCCACTTTATTCAGTTGAACCATTATTTATATTGGTCAAAGTGGCCATTTTGTTTACTTGAAAGCAGATGCTACTTAAAAGAATTGTCAAGTACCCCGGCTGTTTTTGTTCACATTCATAAACCAATCTGAACACTGATTATCGTTAATAATATAACGATAATTTCTAATTATTGAAACTTGGCTCTGTCTTGCTTCTTCTAAATAATGAAGACGAGCGCGAAAAGATACTTCAGACTATCACCACAAAACTATGAGTTCTTTCCAAGTCCTGTGTGTTATATTTGACGAACCCTTCCTTACAGCGTCACAGATCACTAGATCGTTGAAACCAGGATGAAACATTTACGACAAAAAGCAATTGTCTATAGAATCTTTAGTGCGAAAGCATCTAACTGCTCACGCCGAGAGCTGTGATTACTTGAAGGAAATGGATGTTATGCCAAGTGCACATATAACCGAACGGGTGTTGTGGAAACTGGAATAGAACAGTGTCGTTTAATTTATCGCTTTTATAGGACAAGAATGCTAATTGACAACTATCAGCTCTGAGAAGGGTCTGTAGCTATACGACAAAAAGACTAAATTCATCTATGACAAATATCACTTATTTGTTTTTTCCCAAAATACCACCCGCTGGTGACTATCAAAATAAAATGACTTTTTATTTCAAAATATTTAACCTGTTCTCTTCAGATATCGTTAGGTGCTTCCAGTTAGATTTCGTCACTTTTTTAACAGTAAAGAATTTTTATAGCATTATTAAAAGGACACATATAACGTCTCGAATGAGTTGGACGAACATAGCATCTTGTACGGAGCTCTAAAAATATATTACACATAGAACTGAGGTTCAGAAAAAATCAAAGAAAGTTTAATCCCTTGTGGTATATATTTTTAGATTTGGCAGTGCGGACCAGAGCTTTGTGGGTTCTTTTGTGGTTTTCGTAAAGCGTGTAAAGAAAGGCAGAAGGTTCCACGTAAACAAAGAGAAAACAAGTAGTTCACTGATGAAAAGTCTTTTTACTCCGGCAGGAAACGTCGCGAATAACAAGATTACCATGTCTAGATACGACAGCCTGGTGTATTTTTGGTGAGATTATAAATGTAGGTCTCAGTCTTCAATGTAAAAAAGTGAACACGTTTATTATATGTGAATTATCCAGCCCAATATCCGTGCATCAACCACAACACGAAGATAACTTTTTATCATCCTTGAAAAGGATCATAGCTTGTTAGACTGAACAAATGTCACCAAATCTTCCAAGTGGATTGTATATTTATTCTTGTATCCTAGTTATCCTAAACAACAAAACACACTTTTTGTCCACGAGACTCAGGCAAACTTTCCATGGTGAAGTACTGGCCTCAGGTACTCTTTTATCATTCGTAATAATAACCTTTTTCTACCAGTAGCGCGCACGCAACATCAACAATTTTTCGTATTTTTCATATAAGCAAAACAAACTCATCTAGATCATTTTATCATGCCAAATTTAGTAAATATACAAAGTTTCATAACAATCCGTTGCAAAATCATGATAATATGAGACCCCAAACTTGACAATTTTTCCAAAGAAATGTTTGCCAAAGGGCTTAATAAAACTGAGTGTACAGATTCTAATCAGTGTTAATTGTTAGAGGCTTCCAAAGTTATTGCGTTAATTGTAGAATTACTGAGCGTCGTATCGCCGTAAAATATTTGATATTTCGTATTGATATCTTAAGTAGATAATTCTGCGGCAAAAACAAAGTTCTTAACCCACTGTTAAATCACGAAATATCAGTAGACTGTTGCCAAATAATTCCCTCTCAGGGTAAAAAGTCTGACCCTGTGAGGCTCGAATGCTTAAATGTAATCACCTACACATTAAAAATTTACTTCCTTTACTTAACCAACAAAGGTAGAAGTGAAACTGCATGAGGGCTTATTTTGAACAATAATATCTGATTGCTACTGATTCCGTGAACCAAGTGCTTTAACAGTTAGTTAATAGCCCTTTTAATCACTCTGTTTTGTCACGGACAAGTGACTCCACATTTCTTTCGCTAAAGTTATTCGTCCAAATGATTTCAGTTTATGGTAATCGCTTATCGCATCTATTATTTCCAAATAATAATAATAATAATAATAATAATAATAATAATAATAATAATAAAAACAGTATGTCAATCTTGCAAAATTAGCGGTTAATGTGGTGACATTAATTATATTGACCTCCTCTGGTGTGATATAATGGTTAGTCTGTGTTCAAGTAATTATGACATTCACTTACTCAAACATACTAACCTGCGCTTGCTAGTCTTGTGAACACTTATTAGCAAAATTGATGAAAATTCCTTTCCTTTTGATTGCATTGATGTCTACACTTGTTTTCTGGCAACCAATTCGCGCGCTCCAAGAAATGCCACGTGTATGCCCAGCTAACAAATAGATTCCATGTTCCCGTGGGTCCGTTAAAAGCCTCAACATTGGAATTGCGACGTCAACATTGGAATTGCCGAGGCAATGTGAATGCAATGCAGTTCGGAAATCCATTGGTATTTCCACACAGAGATCGAGCATTCTCAGCAGGTTCGAATAGACACTTCTGTGGAAAAACGGAAAGAATTTCTGACTGGCAGAAAATTTACTCAGCTGCAAAGCCAAAATAATACTTGAAATCGCTCGACATTTCTAAACAAAGATCTACTATTCTAAGTAATGAGTTATTTCGGGGAAATTCTACAATAATTTTAGACTGCTGGGTATCTAGTTTTCTGAAAACAGTTCCCGGCTGCCGGGTCATGATCTAGACACAATGTAAAGATTTTATTGCGTTCAATACGCTTACTTGCGGNTAGACACTTCTGTGGAAAAACGGAAAGAATTTCTGACTGGCAGAAAATTTACTCAGCTGCAAAGCCAAAATAATACTTGAAATCGCTCGACATTTCTAAACAAAGATCTACTATTCTAAGTAATGAGTTATTTCGGGGAAATTCTACAATAATTTTAGACTGCTGGGTATCTAGTTTTCTGAAAACACTTCCCGGCTGCCGGGTCATGATCTAGACACAATGTAAAGATTTTATTGCGTTCAATACGCTTACTTGCGGTACGAAGCCCGAGTAAACGTTCTTAGAGCGTACAACGCTCTATCACGAATGACACGATATCGAACTTACGCGATATATTCTGATGGCTACGAGCCATTGAAAGTCATTTGATTAATATGGTCCGTTAACTATTTGGTTAGTGGTCACGTTCTCACTCACGTGTCTAAAATAAAACAAGCACCACTGGTTACGCAATGTCGTTCTGCCTCGGGCTACATTCTAATATTAGTCACGTTCAATTTGTCACAAGTACGCCAGCTTCCACCGGGACTATTACGTGACAAAGACCATTGTTGCTCCAAACTNCACAAAGTTTGATGCCATCGAAAAGTGGTTACAAGGTTTACCCAAGCCAGTTTTCAAGACTGGTGCAGGACATCTTTAAGTGTACAAGGCTAGCTTAAAAGTAACGCACTCCCACTTGAATTGCATGACTTTGTAAATGTCTAATTACTGTGATATCCGTAGCAAGCAGTGCGTAGTAAACTGTAGATAAGGACCTCAGTAAGTAATTTTCGATAATTTCAAGCAAACACCAAACAAGAAGACGTGCACATCATGTTTTAAGTAGGTCTCAAAAATGGACTTCGAAAAATCTTCAATGCTTCCACCTTAGTTTACATTCAGTAATCACCGGCCGTAATTTCTGTTGAGGGTAAATCTTTGTATCAATAGAAAATGTTAACATAGCGTGAAAAGACTCAGTGTTTGTCAGTCAGTCAGTCAGTCATTCTGCAGTCAGTCCGTCATTTTGCAGTCAGTTGGTCAGTCGCTCAGTTAGACAGGTAGCAAGCTAGATTGTTAGTTACTTAGCTAATTTGTTATTCTATGTAATCCATTAGGAAGTCAGGTTATTAGTCACCCTACACAAAAGAGGTAACACAGAAAAAGCCTGGCTGCGTCCTCTGATGTTAAATCTGGTGTAAAACTTAATTCATCAATCTAGATTCTAATACTTTATAATACTTTTTTCGCTGCTTATGTTCCTATGCGAAAGCAACTGATGTTTGACTCCGCTATTATCTAATTTTCTAAATATAGCGCCAGTTTCATTACGAGCATGGGCTGGGTTCATAAGATCGCGGAAAACATTCCAAGCCTTTCAAAACATCAGAAGTAATAGAGTATACGGGTAGTGGCAGTTAGAAAGGTAGCCTACCAAATATGATCTCTAAACGTTGAAGATGGCTATCATCAAATGCACAAATTTATTAAAAATCAACTCTGCTTAAACCGAAGCAGCTTCTACGGTTCCATGTTGTTTACTGTTTCGGAATATTACCTTAACCACGACCTTATCTTTTGACAAATCAATAAAATGCAAAAACAAAGTTTGTGTATTTGATGATGCTTTAAAGCCATATGCGTCATCAGAGTTTATGAGCCAGTTTTTGAACCTTTAAATAAAGATCACTATTTGTGCAAGTTATCCTAATCGAGGATTGGATATGTAGCCAAGCGGAACTGTAGCTGTAGTAAATATGGAAATTCAATGTCACTATGTACCGCGGAATATGTAGCACAGCGTAAACTGCTGCTAACCAGTCACTCTGAGAACATGGAAATATTACTTGTCGTGTAAGATGACAGAGTTTCAACATCGTAACCTGTTAAGGACTTAACCAATTTACTTTTGTAGTTAGCTTTGATTCCTAATAGATTACGTCAACTTCATGTAACACTACATTTGTCAGAATTATTTAAATAATAATTATTAAAATAACTATGAACTATTTATTTCAGAGCACGTGTCAGAGATTCTCTCTTATAAGTGGGTCCTATGTTAGTCCTCGAGTTCTCGCTGAGCCAGCCAATATTAGAAACACTTTAATATCACTGACTTGTTAAGTATTCTGTTTACATCCACATTCACTCCGAATAAGCCGAATTGGTGTATGTGTAAAAAGAAACGTCTCCGAGCCCTCGGAAACATTACTGTAACGAAACCACAACATCCTTTGTTGTTAAGATGTACAGGAAAAATGGCGTTACCGGGAGCAACTTGAGTTACTCCTTGGATAGAGAGGGAAAAATTTCACTTAACTTTTCAAGACATTTATGTGTAACAACAAGAATGGCAAGATCTTTGGAAAATCAAAAAACTGCAAGAAGATTTAGTTATTCTGAAACCCCGTCAACTCGCAAACGAACAGGTTCTCGGCCATTTGATAACTCCAAGGAAAAGTTTGGTAGACAGCAGAGCGCTGAAGGACCGCTATCACGAAGGCAAGTGTACAATATAGGCGAGACATTTCAGCAAAAATTCGGCCACACGAATGAAATGCAAGGGACGAACACTTTGGTATCCTCTCCTTATTGGACGAACAGAGAAGCGGTTCAGATGGACGATGAGACGAAGTCATTCTGCGATTCCGTTTCATCAATCGCTTGCAGCAACTATGCTAGGACTGATGTGGACAATCGAAAACACTGGAATAAAAATGACCATAAATTTCCTGACAAGATTTCAAAGTTTCAAGCCATCGAAAAGTGGTTACAAAGTTTGCCAGAACCAGGTTCATAATTAAAGGACCACTAAATGTACAGTTGGTTAGATCTCAGAGCATTTTGGATTATAAAATGCCCAGCGTAGTTTTTAGAAGCCTGGACGTGTTGGTACTAAAAAATTAGGTTTATGTGGCATACATGCCATTAGGAGCTAGGTGACCAAATAGAAACGACAGCTGTATGACTCAGCTGCAATATCGTAATGCTCGAATGCTTATAAACTGGTGATCGAGGTATTACGTATAATTAATCACTGTATCTTAACTGGATATAAACTTATGATGAAAATGTGTATGTATAATGTTTGCGACTTCAAAAGTTGTGTTAGTCTTGGAATTGGACAAGACGCCAGAGCTAAATGGTCAGTCGTCATTATCGAGAGGCATTGTTCCTATGAGTAGGTAAATTTGTTGATAACCCGCCATTAAGTCACGAAATATTTAGACGCATTGCTAAATTACATCAGCGTAAAAATGCTTCTTCCATGCGCGGTCCAAAAGCTTCAACTCAACTGAGAGTAAGTTATTTGTTGTCAATCCCAAGTAAAGGACCAAAGACGAGTAAAAGGGACAATGTAAACAATTAACTCTTATTACTCTATATTCCGTTAAGTGTTTTTCAGTATATAAATTGTCATTTTTATCATTTGTCTTGTTACCGATAAACGATTTTCTTTTCATAAATTAGCTCGAATATCAATCACGGAAACCTAAATTTCGATTAAACTAAATTAAAATTCAATCTGAAATACCTGTACCACCATTACATCGGCATTTGAAAAGTACTAAGGAGGTAATAAACAAACTGTTGTGCTTTCTTTTTTTTTTCTTTTGCAACGTTTCATGATGGACAGACTACCGCCACTTTATTCAGTTGAACCATTATTTATATTGGTCAAAGTGGCCATTTTGTTTACTTGAAAGCAGATGCTACTTAAAAGAATTGTCAAGTACCCCGGCTGTTTTTGTTCACATTCATAAACCAATCTGAACACTGATTATCGTTAATAATATAACGACAATTTCTAATTATTGAAACTTGGCTCTGTCTTGCTTCTTCTAAATAATGAAGACGAGTGCGAAAAGATACTTCAGACTATCACCACAAAACTATGAGTTCTTTCCAAGTCCTGTGTGTTATATTTGACGAACCCTTCCTTACAGCGTCACAGGTCACTAGATCGTTGAAACCAGGATGAAACATTTACGACAAAAAGCAATTGTCTATAGAATCTTTAGTGCGAAAGCATCTAACTGCTCACGCCGAGAGCTGTGATTACTTGAAGGAAATGGATGTTATGCCAAGTGCACATATAACCGAACGGGTGTTGTGGAAACTGGAATAGAACAGTGTCGTTTAATTTATCGCTTTTATAGGACAAGAATGCTAATTGACAACTATCAGCTCTGAGAAGGGTCTGTAGCTATACGACAAAAAGACTAAATTCATCTATGACAAATATCACTTATTTGTTTTTTCCCAAAATACCACCCGCTGGTGACTATCAAAATAAAATGACTTTTTATTTCAAAATATTTAACCTGTTCTCTTCAGATATCGTTAGGTGCTTCCAGTTAGATTTCGTCACTTTTTTAACAGTAAAGAATTTTTATAGCATTATTAAAAGGACACATATAACGTCTCGAATGAGTTGGACGAACATAGCATCTTGTACGGAGCTCTAAAAATATATTACACATAGAACTGAGGTTCAGAAAAAATCAAAGAAAGTTTAATCCCTTGTGGTATATATTTTTAGATTTGGCAGTGCGGACCAGAGCTTTGTGGGTTCTTTTGTGGTTTTCGTAAAGCGTGTAAAGAAAGGCAGAAGGTTCCACGTAAACAAAGAGAAAACAAGTAGTTCACTGATGAAAAGTCTTTTTACTCCGGCAGGAAACGTCGCGAATAACAAGATTACCATGTCTAGATACGACAGCCTGGTGTATTTTTGGTGAGATTATAAATGTAGGTCTCAGTCTTCAATGTAAAAAAGTGAACACGTTTATTATATGTGAATTATCCAGCCCAATATCCGTGCATCAACCACAACACGAAGATAACTTTTTATCATCCTTGAAAAGGATCATAGCTTGTTAGACTGAACAAATGTCACCAAATCTTCCAAGTGGATTGTATATTTATTCTTGTATCCTAGTTATCCTAAACAACAAAACACACTTTTTGTCCACGAGACTCAGGCAAACTTTCCATGGTGAAGTACTGGCCTCAGGTACTCTTTTATCATTCGTAATAATAACCTTTTTCTACCAGTAGCGCGCACGCAACATCAACAATTTTTCGTATTTTTCATATAAGCAAAACAAACTCATCTAGATCATTTTATCATGCCAAATTTAGTAAATATACAAAGTTTCATAACAATCCGTTGCAAAATCATGATAATATGAGACCCCAAACTTGACAATTTTTCCAAAGAAATGTTTGCCAAAGGGCTTAATAAAACTGAGTGGACAGATTCTAATCAGTGTTAATTGTTAGAGGCTTCCAAAGTTATTGCGTTAATTGTAGAATTACTGAGCGTCGTATCGCCGTAAAATATTTGATATTTCGTATTGATATCTTAAGTAGATAATTCTGCGGCAAAAACAAAGTTCTTAACCCACTGTTAAATCACGAAATATCAGTAGACTGTTGCCAAATAATTCCCTCTCAGGGTAAAAAGTCTGACCCTGTGAGGCTCGAATGCTTAAATGTAATCACCTACACATTAAAAATTTACTTCCTTTACTTAACCAACAAAGGTAGAAGTGAAACTGCATGAGGGCTTATTTTGAACAATAATATCTGATTGCTACTGATTCCGTGAACCAAGTGCTTTAACAGTTAGTTAATTGCCCTTTTAATCACTCTGTTTTGTCACGGACAAGTGACTCCACATTTCTTTCGCTAAAGTTATTCGTCCAAATGATTTCAGTTTATGGTAATCGCTTATCGCATCTATTATTTCCAAATAATAATAATAATAATAATAATAATAATAATAATAAAAACAGTATGTCAATCTTGCAAAATTAGCGGTTAATGTGGTGACATTAATTATATTGACCTCCTCTGGTGTGATATAATGGTTAGTCTGTGTTCAAGTGATTATGACATTCACTTACTCAAACATACTAACCTGCGCTTGCTAGTCTTGTGAACACTTATTAGCAAAATTGATGAAAATTGCTTTCCTTTTGATTGCATTGATGTCTACACTTGTTTTCTGGCAACCAATTCGCGCGCTCCAAGAAATGCCACGTGTATGCCCAGCTAACAAATAGATTCCATGTTCCCGTGGGTCCGTTAAAAGCCTCAACATTGGAATTGCGACGTCAACATTGGAATTGCCGAGGCAATGTGAATGCAATGCAGTTCGGAAATCCATTGGTATTTCCACACAGAGATCGAGCATTCTCAGCAGGTTCGAATAGACACTTCTGTGGAAAAACGGAAAGAATTTCTGACTGGCAGAAAATTTACTCAGCTGCAAAGCCAAAATAATACTTGAAATCGCTCGACATTTCTAAACAAAGATCTACTATTCTAAGTAATGAGTTATTTCGGGGAAATTCTACAATAATTTTAGACTGCTGGGTATCTAGTTTTCTGAAAACACTTCCCGGCTGCCGGGTCATGATCTAGACACAATGTAAAGATTTTATTGCGTTCAATACGCTTACTTGCGGTACGAAGCCCGAGTAAACGTTCTTAGAGCGTACAACGCTCTATCACGAATGACACGATATCGAACTTACGCGATATATTCTGATGGCTACGAGCCATTGAAAGTCATTTGATTAATATGGTCCGTTAACTATTTGGTTAGTGGTCACGTTCTCACTCACGTGTCTAAAATAAAACAAGCACCACTGGTTACGCAATGTCGTTCTGCCTCGGGCTACATTCTAATATTAGTCA